ACATCTCATACCGTTTGCTTATTTTCTTTAAATCGATTACAGCCATTCTTGCATCATTAGCATGATTTTATGATATATTTGTGATCATTGATGTATTTCTAACATGTCTAGATTGTTTAATTGGATTTTTGAGGCTTATACATGTGACTGCCATTACTAGGGCTTCAAGCTCCGTTTTGGGGTCTTTTAGCACAGGCAAAATTAGGGATGGATAAGGGCACCATGATGTTCAGGGCTTCAAGCCCAGTCGATTCATGGTCTCCATGGGAATTTATATTGCATATATTGGATTTTTGAATGATACAAGTTTATAGCCATGGATATCGTCCGTAGGTATAAGTTACTTACCTAATACGACGACAGGAGGAAGAAGATAATAACGTGGCAGCCAACCACTGGGCCATTCAAGTTGGGCGCACATTTTTGTTTGTTTCAGATTTATCCATTTGTTTTATATATTATGCATCATTATTATTATATTATCAATTGAAACATGTGGCGCAATTGGTAAAGAAGTGTGTTGGAAAGGGTAGAGGGTCTGGGTTCGATCCCAGGTCCCAGCAATTTTCTTTATCTTATTTTTCTTCTGCAGATCATGTACATCACTATCTCCAACGCTCACCATGCGCCTTCAACATCCAGCCAATGGATGCATCTCTGTCCAATCCAACGTCCCCACCTGCCAGAGACAATGGTACACCATCAGGAGGGAGCCCCACTGGATCACGCACTGACTGGGCTTCAGCTTGGTGGGCTTGGAATAAATTCAGAAAGGCACCCCTCCAATTGTTATACATGCCCAATTTAATTTTTTTTATTTCTTTTATTTATTTTGCTTGTTTAATTGTTTGTTTTCATAAATTAATTCTTTTTTAATTAACTACAAAAAACAAAAAATCACAAAGACACCAAAAATTCTTTTTTTATAAAAAAATTATTTATTTTAATTAATTAATTAAATTAAAAATTAGGTTAACTTAACTCCTTTTATAATTAAAATCAATTAGAAATTAAGATTTGATTTTTGTAAATAATTAATTTTTTCTTCTAAAAATAACTTAAATATTTTTTTCCTCAAATAGATTTTAGGTTTTCTAATCGTCCTCGCATTTAATTTGTGGCGCGTTTTAATTACTTTTTTAAACTAATTTTGTAATTGTTCCGAGGTTGTAGTAGTTTTAATTAGGTTTTAATTTCAAATTTCATTTTCAGTCAAAATAATTATGTATCTGCAAAACCCATGTAATAGTTAGGATTCTATTTCCGCACTTTAATTTCCGCAATTATAAACTGTTAGATGTATGCTAATAGGATTGTATGACAAGAATATTTGAAAATTAAAACGGTAGAAAACCCTAAATGTGTAAAGATAAATTAACTAAAAACATACACTCGCACATGCTCACTCTTAGGGTTTACTCCATTTCGGTTGCCTTCGGTTAAACGGTCATGAAGTATAGGGTTTGTTAGTGGTCGTCCTCTAGCTCCGAAAGATCTCAAATGACCCATTCAGATGTTGCCTCGGAAAAGATCTTTAAGGCTTTATGATGATTACTAACACCTCCTAACATTGCTTTTGTGACCGTATTTGTCCCTTCGAATGTCCCTTAAAATTATAATGACGGTGCTACCTATTCCTTAATAATGGGATAGCGCTGTCTAAAGGAAAATGAACAAACTTTTTTCGAGTAGGTAGATTAACTCTTAAGTACTTGCTCAAACACATAAACTTTTCACACAAACACTTTTCAAAATAATTTTCAAAACAACTTCATCACATCCTTGAGGACTGATACAAGGGTTATCACAAAGTAAACTTTTTTTCAAAACAAGCACACACACAAGAAATTTTAAAAAATGAGCAAGTACCTAAGAGCCCATGGAAAACCATGGATAGAAAGGATGCTAACACCTTCCCTTTCTATAATCTACCCCCCGTACTCAGAAATATTCTCGAAAAAGGTTTTTTCTGTTCTTTTTCCTTTCCCTTATTTGGATGAAATAAAAGTCGGTGGTGACTCTTACTTACCGCGACATTTTGCAAACAAAAAACACAAAATGCAAACCAATATTAACAGTCGGTTCTGCCACCGTATCACAGGTTTCTCCGGGCTGCATTCGAAATAATTTGTATTCTTGACTCAGGGTATTTAGTCTTAGTCTTTTAACTTCAACAGTTCCTTCATGAGTTTGTACCAAGGTATCCCATATTTCTTTTGTTGTTTTACATGCCGAGACACGAAAGAATTCATCCATGCTAAGTGCACCTTGAAGAAGGTTTATTGCCTTTTTATCATAGAGAACCTTCTTCTTATCATCTTCGTCCCATGCAATTTTAGGCTTTGATGAGCCATCACCATTGATTACCGTTATAGGGATAAATGGACCATTCTCGACGGCATCCCATATTTCTTCTCCTTGTGCTTCTAAATATGCCTTCATGCGTATTTTCCAGAAATCAAAATATTCACCATAAAATAGAGGAGGCTTGTTGTTACTACTAACATATTTGAAAACAAGATTTTGATTTGCGGAAGCCATTGTGGATCTTTTAGGAACAGGTTACCTATAACCTGCTCTGATGCCAATTGTAAGTACGAAGTGCGCCTAAGAGTGGGTGAATTAGGTACTTTAAAAAATTCTGGTTTTAGTGATGATGGATATTATTTTTCTGGATTATGGTGAGTTTATGAAAGAGTAAAGTGCAGAAAAATAAAGAGACACAAGCGATATATCCTGGTTCTCCTTACAGTCCGAGAGTACTCCAGTCCCCTTTCAACATGAAAGAGATTTCATTATTGTGGAAAACTTAAACAAGAACTACCCAAAACCAAGAACAATCCTCTTGGACCAAGAACAATCCTCTTGGATTTTCACTATGTCAACAATGAGAACAATCCTCTCAAAGTGACTTCACTTGTATCCAACAATCCTGGAAAGACAAGATTTATAAAACCACTTAAACTTATTTCCAACAATCCTGAAAAATAAGTAACTATTTATCAATATTTGATTTGAGTGAGTTTGAGTAGTAATGATCACTTTGAGTGATTTAATCAATGAATTGATCTTCTCTTCTAATGATAATAGTATACAATGACTCAAGATATATAATGCTCAAAGTTTTCTGGTTAATAATATGTGAAAGTGTGCAGAAAACTTGTGTATGAAAATGTATAGCAGCTTGAGTTTGATTTTTGAAAATTCAGAAAATATAATTGGAAGAGGTGCAGAAAATGATTTTGAAAATGAGTATTTATATGTTCATAACACCTTTTTGAAACAACATAAAGTTCTGTAAATGAATCATGAACAATTGCCAAGATTGAGTGAAAGGTTTCCATGAAATGCTGTTATGAACAGGCATGTGCAAAGCTGTTGTTTTTCAAAATCGTGCAGCATGCAATCGATTGCACCCTTTGTGTAAATCGATTGCACGCAGTTTCAACAGCTAGAATTTCAAAAGTGTTAAGTGTGCAATCGATTGCACAAGAGCGTAAATCGATTGCATGTGAAGTAAGTAGCAAAAATTGATTGAGTGCAATCGATTGCACAAACATGCAAATCGATTGCACTGAGAAACAGTAGCAAAAATTGATTGAGTGCAATTGATTTCATAAACATGCAAATCGATTGCACTGAGAAACAATAGCAAAAATTGATTGAGTGCAATCGATTGCACAAACATGCAAATCGATTGCACTGAGAAACAATAGCAAAAAATTTGAAAAAATTGAAGCATGCAATCGATTGCAATAATATGCAAATCGATTGCACTCAAGTGAAAAATGATTTTTAGCTTAGAAAAACTTGAGTAAAGGTTTGGACAATATAAAATATTTCTTTTTACCATTGAGCATCTATGTCTTAAGTTCAAAGTAAGTATTATCATTATACCTTGAAATTTTGCTAAGTGCTTGAACTGAAGACTTTATTCACATATGCTTTTAGCTGAGTCAAAAATCTCTGCCTTCTTTGACAATCATGGTTTATCTTCATCAAAATAAAAGTGCATTTGAGAAGGTTGTTTTTACAGAGAAAAAAGTAACTTTTGATATAATTATTTTTATAAACAAGATGGAACGAACTCGCGGACAATTACACTTTTTATAAACGGAAAAAAGTTAAATTGGTGATACAATTTAATTAATATTTATATGACATTCATAATTTAAAACTTTTTTTTTCCTTTTAATTCATTCATATTTTTAAAGATATTTCTCAACCATAACTACTGTAGAATATTTATTTATATTTATATCAACTTTTCGTGACTCATGCAAATATATGGATAGATGACTACTTAATTATTTTCTTTATTTTTCTACTAAAATATACATTTTTGATGAGTCAACACTACTTAATTTATATATCTTATATATATATATATATATATATATATATATATATATATATATATATATATATATATATATATATATATATATATATATATATATATATATATATATATATATATATATATATATATATATATATATATTAACCATCAATATACTATATTTATTTGTTATTTATAATGATATCGCGCTACTCATGTGAAGTGTACTACATCATATAAACATAATTTCTATATATATTATGACAACTATTACAACTTGATAAAATAAATTAATATTTATATGACAATGATTATTGAAATTTTTTTCTTCTTAATTCGTATATATTTTTATATATATTTTTTAACCATTTATAATATAAGTGAATACAAAAATTTGATAAGATAGTTTTATTCCTAAAAAAATTGATTCAATCAATTAAGTATGATTTTTTTTTATAAATTTATTTATAACATTATCATAAATTTGATAAAATATATATATATCTAAAATATATATTTCCGACGGTTCGATACTATTTTATTTGTTTATCTTTTATATACATTTCATAATTATCATTATTCTATATTTATTTACTATTTATAACAATATTACACCACCATATAAATATACCGATAAAGAAGAAAAGAGAGAAGAAAAATGGCGTCTTGGAATTCAGTTTCATTACAAGTAAGTTACGAATTTCTGGGCTGGTTCGCTTTTATTGCATGGTCCATCAGTTTCTACCCTCAAGTCATCTTAAATTTTCGAAGAAAAAGGTTCCTATTTCTTCTTCTTCCTCAATCATTTTCGTTCCGTTTGATTATTTTTAACCCTCAATTTTTCAATTTCAGCGTCGTTGGACTCAACTTTGATTTCGTTCTCCTAAACCTAACCAAACATAGTTCCTATCTCATATACAATGCTTCTCTATACTTTAGCTCCGCTATTCAGAAACAATACTTCCAGAAATATGGTTATGATCAGGCAACGTTACTTCACCAACTTGTAACTTTAATCGCTTTTTTTTTTTATAATCTTAACGGTATAATTTTATTTATTTTCAGATGATACCGGTGGCGCCAAATGATGTTGCTTTTTCAGTCCATGCTGTTGTGCTGACGGCCATTGCGTTGTTCCAGATTGCAATCTATGAAGTAAAAATGATGTTTCTTCTTGTTTTTTTTTTTGGCGTGTTTTATGACTGGATTATCTGTTTTTCTGAAGTTGGAAACTGTTTTGTTGTAGCGTGGAAGCCAGAAATTGTCGAGAGTTTCCATCGGAATTGTCTCCGTTGTTTGGCTGACCGCTGCTGTTTGTTTCTTTGTTGCTTTGTCTGATCATTCATGGCTCTGGCTTCTCAACGTTTTCAAGTATGTTGTCTGTGCCTGTGTGGTTTATTGCATCTATTTCGTGCTTTTTGATTTTCAGCTTTGATCATTTGATTCGTTATATGTGCTTCTGTGGTTAAACGCATTACTTTATTTTTTTTGGAATGGATTCGTTGCGTATTGTTAATGGTAATGCTAAGATTGGAATATTATGTATTTGAACTGCCTCAGAGGCTCAAACCTACCCTTGTTGTAGTTCTAAAGTCTATATTTTGGATTGTTAAGAGTTTCCTATTGGACAATATGTGGCATGAACACATGTTTATAAGTTAGGACTATCATCACTTTATAAGCCGGTTTTGAATAGATGAGTTAGGCCCTACCAACATACTATAAAATGGTATCAGTGTTCGGTTTAAGATCTGTCGAGCCCACCTGCCATTAGGTTTCTGCCATCATGCAACCCACCATTTACATCCACGCACTAAGTCCAATAGTGTTGGTGTGAGGGATGTGTTAAGAGTCTCACTTTGGACAATATATGACATGAACATATGTTTATAAATGGGAGAAATCATCACCTTACAAGCCGGTTTTGAGGGATGAGTCATGCCAACCTACATACTATAATATGGATGATGAAAAATATTTGATTTCCATTGCTAGAATTCCTATTGGAGTCTTTCATTTCAGCTTGTAACAAAATTCTGTTATTATGATTTGTTAATTACAAAATGAGCCAAACAGTTGCATTTATAGTAGCAACTGTGTGACCTGCTATTGCACGTCACCTACTGTTAATATCTGACATCTGTCAGTCCTTACAAGAGTTTATAGAGCTATTCTACATATCTCAACTATACTCTAATCCCCCTCCAAACTCATGGGGAGCTAGCAACCCTGAGTTTGTGTCTAAGCTCCAAAAACTTGACAGAAGATAAGGGTTTTGTGAGAACATCAGCAATCTGATCCACACCAGGAATGTGAGCAACACTGATTTGCTTAGCAAGGACCCTTTCTCTTACAAAGAAGAGATCAATTTCCACATGCTTTGTTCTTGAGTGCATGATGGGATTGTGGGCTAACATTACTGCAGATTGGTTGTCACAAAGGACTACAGGGTGTTGAGTAGGAACACAGAGTTCTGTTAAGAGAGTCTGAAGCCACAGAAGATCAGTTGTGGCTTGAGCTAGGCTCCTGTACTCTGCTTCTGTGCTGGACCTAGCAACTACAGGTTGCTTCTTGGACCACCATGAGACCAAATTTCCTCCAAAATAAATTGCTGCACCAGAAGTACTTCTCTTGTCATCTGGGTCAGAAGCCCAGTCTGCATCACAAAAGACTTGGAGAGAGGGAGGCTGAGATGGAATATGGGGCAATAGATGTAGTCCATACTGAATGGTGCCCTTGAGATACCTAAGTTTCCTTTTTACTGCAATCCAATGTGTTTCCAGTGGGAGAGACATAATAAACTGTCAGACTTTATTGACTGAGTAGGCAATGTCAGGTCTTGTTATGGTGGCATATTGGAGAGCCCCGACTATTGATCTGTACATGTAGGGATCAGCGCAGGAGACCCATGTTTAGTAAGTTTACAGGAGGATTGCATGGGAGTGTTCACAGGACTGGAGTCAGCCATGTGAATTCTCTGTAGGAGATCCCTGATATATTTAGTCTGAGTTAGCAGCATAGAACTCTTAGCATTAGACTTCACTTCAATACCAAGAAAATAATCCAAACCCCCAAGATGTTTAAGAGAGAAGTCAGAATTGAGCTTGTTAATGATAGTGGTGAGAAGATCAGTGTTACTGCTAGTGATGATTATATCATCTACATAGACTAGCAAATAAACTGTGTGACCATTTGAGGCAAATATGAAGAGGGAAGGATCACATTTGCTGGGCTTGAAGTGTAGTTTGAGAAGTGCTGCCTATAGCCTTTCAAACCACTGCCTGGGGGCCTGTTTCATGCCATACAAGGCTTTATGCAGTTTGCACACAAGGGAGGGATCTGAGTTAACAAAACCTGGTGGTTGGTCCATATACACCTCTTCATGTAGCAAGCCATTTAAAAAGTCTTTATTTACATCCAACTGCTGTATAGACCATCTGTGAGTAAGAGCAATAGTGAGGATGAGTCTGATGGTAATTGGCTTGACAACAGGGGAAAAAGTTTCATTAAAGTCGAAGCCCTGTTTTTGATGGAGAGGGTGAAGTAGGAGAGGAGGATGTAGAAGCCTCTGAAGGGGAGGAAACATAAAAAATGTGGGTAGTTTGTGATGAAGAATTAGTAGCCAGCCTCTGAAGAGGAAGAAAGGCTAGCAGACTGAATTGGGGAGGAAGGAGATTTAGATGAAGAAACAACATTGGGGGTAGTTGCAGATGAAAAGGGAACTGCTGTCAGAGGCATAGGTTTAGGGATAGAAAGATTAGAGAATAGAGAAGACAGATTAGTGGAGGACTGCTGTTTGGCAGAAGTGTTGTGATTAGTAGTAGTAGAGGTGGAAGGAGAGAATAACTCAAGGTAGGGAAACCTTGACTCATTGAAGAGAACATCCTTGGAAATATACAGTTTGCCACAAGGAGAGAGACATCTGTAACCCTTATGAGAGGTGGAGTAATCCAAAAATAAGCACTCCTGAGATCTGAATTTCAGTTTGTGAGCATTATAAGGTCTCAACAATGGGAAACAAGCACAACCAAAGACTCTTAGAAAATTGTAGTCAGGCTTAGCATGAAACAAGAGAGTGTATGGAACTTGAAATTGAATAGATGAAAAGGGAATCCTGTTAATAAGAAACACAACAGTTGAGAATGCATAGTCCCAGTAGGTTAGTGGTAAAGATGCTTGACTCAAGAGAGTTAAGCCAAGATCCTCAATGTGCCTGTGTTTCCTAACCACAACACCATTTTGGTAATGTGTATGAGGGCATATAATCCTGTGCACTATTCCCAAATCAGCAAGAAACTTGCTAAAAGGGTCAAATTCCCCACCCCAATCAGACTGAACAGCTTTAATGGAATGCCCAAGCTGCAATTCAACAAGAGATTTGAACTGTTTGAAAATATTGAAAGCCTCAGCTTTAGATTTAAGCAAATACAACCAGGTAAACTTAGAGAAAGCATCAACAAATGAGATATAGTAAGTGAACCCTTGAGCAGAGGGTTGGGGAGAGGGTCCCCATAGATCACAGAAGACAAGTTCTAAAGGATAATCATAAGTGGTGTGTGAAGTTGGTACATGCAGTCTCTGTGCTTTACCAATACAGGCAGAACAAAGAAACTCATAATTTTTATTACTGAAAGAGAGATTACAACTTTGAAGCACCAATCTCAAGGTGTTAACATTGGGGTGGCCTAGTCTTAAATGCCATGTATTGGAAAAAGCAAGGGAAATAGTCTTAGCAGTTTTGAAAACATTGAGCAGGGGAAACTCATAAAGTCCATCTGAACCAACTTGACCAGCCAGCAAGACAGCATTAGACACCTGACATTGGACAAAGCATGTATCAGCTGTGAAAAGGAAATAAACACGATTGTCACGAACAAAACTGACTCACACTTATAAGGTTCTTTGTGATGGAAGGCACATACATGTAATAGATTATTAAGTATGAGAGGTGTGTGAGGGTGAGTTTGAGATAAAAATTGACTAGAACCAGCTGAGTTGATTACTAAACCTTGGCCATTGCCTATGTAAATTTGTTCATGTCCCTCAAAAGGTGTAACTTGTTGCAAGTTACTAGCATCATTGATAACATAATAGGAGGCACCTGAATCAGGATACCATGAGGCAGCTGAGGAGGAAGGAGCAGCATTGGCAATAAAGGTGCTTGGAGAAGCATAGGCAACTGCAGGCCTGACTTGAGGAGCTGCAGGTCTAGTCCACACATTTGCAGGAAATTGACCATAAGGCACTTGAGGAGGTTGCCAGGGAGTTGCAGCATAGGGATTTCCACTGTATGTTGAAGGCTGAAACTGCTGATTGTGCCTATGTCAACAGCTAAGAGCAGAATGTCCAACTTTGGAACAGACTTGACATTGAACATTAGAGTTCCTGCCACCTTTGCCTTTGCCACCACGACCTCCCCTATTTGATATACCACCTCTGAAGCTGGAATACTCAGGTTCAGCATGAGATGGAGCCACTTGTGAGTTAGTGGAATCACTGCTGCCAGATTGAGGAGTTTCAGGGGAGGGAGATTGTGGTGTAACATGTGTGAGATTGAGAGAAGCTAGATCTGGCACAGGTTGCTTCTTGAATTTGTTCAATCTCAGTTCATGAGCAATCAAGAGAATTTCAACTTCATCTAAGTCTATGTCACCAAATTTGCTTTTCACAACTGAGACAAGAGGAGCATATTCACTAGGAAGTCCTTCAAGAATAACATCAATATGATGTGTGCTTGGAACAGGATTGCCAATTGAGGCTAAAGAATCCACAATTGTACGAATCTGCAACAAGTAATCAGAAACAGATTGGGATTCAAGAGTTAGGGCACGCAATTCCACACGAAGTTGACGAGCATGCGCACGAGTTTGCTTCTGAAAGTAACTAAACAAGCGATCCCAAAGCTGATGCGAATGCGAACATTCAAGAACTCGAGACAGAATTTCGCTCGAAAGTGTGGATTGAAGCCAGGATAATAGCAATTGATATTTCTGAAGCCAAGTCGAGTACGTAGGATTGATCGTACCTTGACGGCGAGCTTCATCATCCAAGAATTTGGGAGGAACTCGCGTGCAAACGACGAGATCGGTGAGATTATGCGCATTGATGTAAGGTTCCACTTGCTGACGCCAGAGGTGGAAGTTCTTCTCGTCGAGCTTGTGAGTGATCTTGAGAGAGAACTGTAAACAGCGCGATTCATCCGTCGCCGCCATAGACGGCGAGTTCTGAGAGGTAACGTGAGCGGAAGACGGCGTTTCCGGTGAAGAAGGTGACGCCATGGATCGATTATAACTAATTGATACCATGCTAGAATTCCTATTGGAATCTTTCATTTCAGCTTGTAACAGAATTCTGTTATTATGATTTGTTAATTACAAAATGAGGCAAACAGTTGCATTTATAGTAGCAACTGTGTGACCTGCTATTGCAGGTCACCTACTGTTAATATCTGACATTGGTCAGTCCTTACAAGAGTTTATAGAGCTATTCTACATATCTCAACTATACTCTAATAGCCATAGCTTGTGAATATGATTTAGTTTTGTTCTAACATTTTGTTTAAATTGATCATGTTTCAGCTCAATTCAAGTGCTTATGACTACTATAAAGTACATTCCTCAGGTTAGAATTTCCTTTTGTTTTCTTTTTCTACGCAGATGGTTGTTGAGTAGCATTTTCGTAACAAAATAAACTCCTTACAGAACCTAATTTATTGGCTGTACTTCTAAATGCACATCAAACTGTTTTCATGTTCTTCTCAAAAGGCCTTGTATTCAACTCCAGCTTAATATCTTTCTTTTTCTTAGAAAAAAGAAACAAATTAGTTATTATGGAAATACAAATTGAATGGAATGAATAAAGGTGAAACCCAATTCTTTGCTTCTTTCTCTCTATCTATTAATCGAGTCAGGAATCCTCTAAAAGTTTGAACCCTTCCTTTAGCTGTATTGGATTGGAATTTGGAACACTATTTTTCTATGATTTCCACTGTGCTGGTGGCATGGAATTTTTTTGAGACATAAACTTTGTGTCCCCAAATAAACTGTTTCTTAAAATCGAATAATAACACTAGCATAGTTCTTCCGTCTTCTGTTGATAACGGATGTACTAGGAACCTGTAATAACACACTTTATAAACTTAAGTAGTTTACTATTATTATATGTTTAGTTCGAAATATGCAGTTGGTGAAGTAACATTAATTAATTGTTGGAGTTAATCATAACAATAAATCAAAGAGAACTACATTATTTCCAGCTTCTTGCTTTTCATTTAATATTTTTTGTTATGAATGTAGGTAAGCATGAACTTCCTAAGGAAAAGTACAGATGGATTCAGCATTGGAAACATTCTACTTGATTTTTCTGGAGGAATAGCAAACTACGGACAGATGGTTGTGCAATCAATAGATCAAGGTTTGTTTTTCACAAACTCGTGTCTCTGCAGTTTGATAGGCCTTCTTGCATTTGATTCTATATTTCAACTGACATATTTAAATCCCATCTTTCCAGATTCGTGGGTCAACTTCTATGGCAATATAGGAAAAGTGTTGCTCTCTCTGGTATGGAAAACTCTCCTAATGCAATATTTTGCATCATTCTTAAGTTTCACTTGTTTCTTCCTTCTCCATTCCATTCCATTTTACATAATGTTATGGTTCTTGTTCTAATTCTGTTTTATCTGGATATCGTTATTTAAATCTTAGAAGTATGCTACTCCATTTTAGCTCAGGAAATAAAGGATTGTTAGATTTCTGTTTCCACTTTCTGTTTTTGTTTCGTGTTTTTGCTTTTAATTATAAACATGTATTCTGTGTTTTTTATTTTTATTTTAATGGAATACATAATTGCAGGTATCTGTATTCTTTGACATTATTTTCATCATTCAACATTATGTCCTGTATGCTGCTAAAAAACCCTCCAAATCGGTGACCACCGGCGACAATGAAGATCAAATTAGAGAGCACCTTGTAAGGCCTTCTGATGAGTCTCCACCAGAGAATGTGTGAGACATGATTTTGTTCATAATGTATATTCAAAGCAGCATCAAGATCGAATCAGAAAGCACCTTGACAGGAATGTTGTAAAAGAGGTGAATTCTAATGTATATCAAGTTTCCCATTGATTTCTATCATGATCAAAACTATTTATGACTTTGCCTGGACCTTCACCAAACTTTGTTGTATAATTTGTATAATAAGTTTAGAAAAATTATAATATCGATCTTTATGCCTATTTATGTCATAAATTTAGACCGCTTTCTATAGACAAACCTTAAAAAAAAAAGAGATTTCTATCGACAAATTTACTAAGTTCTCTACACAAATCCGGTCAAAAGATCAAATTAATAACCTGTGGCAGTTTTTATTTAAATAAAGTACAAGATATATTGAAACTGAAAGTTAACCAAATTGAAAAAAAAGAAAAGAGAATATATCTAAAAACTCATCAGTAAAAAAGCAAACACAAGATAAACTATATCAAGTTCTAATTAAAAGTGCTAGACAAAGTTTAATTAGTCAAAGAACTTGAAGCTGTAGAAACTCGTCTAATCTTACACTTAGTGTTTTATATTATAGTTTTATCAATTAATTGTAAATGAAGTTAGAGTAGGTCTGAGGTACTAAAAAAAATGCAAACACAGACACAAAAGTTTCAAAACTCCCATATCTTTTTAATAAGACTTCTTAAAACCAATATGGGAATGTGATTATACGACTAATAAGCTTATTTGATATATTAGGAAGGCAAAATACATGGACTAATGTATTCATTATAGTCAATTAAAACAAAGTACAAGACCTCCTACATTGAAATTTGAAGTTCTCTGCCAATCAATTAAGAGATGTTTGTAATTGATTAAAAGTTTAAAAAGTCAACGGGTTATTACCTTTTTTTTTTGACTTTTTTGCTATATAAATGAGGGTTTTACTCTTTTCAAAATACATTAGTTTTTTTTGAACAAAACTCATTTTCTATCTTTCTACTACACGTTCTTTTGAAAAGTTTCTTTTCATTAGAATTGTTTTTTTAGAGAGTGAAAAGTTTCATCTAAAAGTTGTGTTGGTATTATGATATAGTTATTTCTTTAGCAATCTAATTCTCTTGTCATCTTTTTGTAATATATTTGAAGGTTGCAAGTTAAACCATTAAAAAATTTGGTTTAAGGTTGTTGAGTTGAACCTGTATAAAAACTCTAGGTGTTTTGTTTAAGATTGTTTAGGTTGATAAAGTGTAAAAGTTCAAGATTGTCTATGAAAAGTTATTGGGTGATCCTATGCAACAACTCAAGTTGTTTGTGAATATTTTAATGGAAATTCCAAAAAGAAACTCTTTTAGAACGGGAGTAGATCACATGGATTAGCTTGAATCAAAGTAATCTCATTTATTTTATTCCACAATGTAATTCTCTGTCTTTTTCTCATTTCTATTAGTATGTTACTTTATATTTGTTTATTTCTCTCTTCTAAAATACACAATTTTCAAATTAAAGTGCTACTAGTTTTTGAAATCTAAATATCACAGTTTAGTTTCTTTTATATTTGAAGTTATTTGGTCAATAAGTGATATTAGAGCTTAACTTAAGACTATTTATCTTAGGATCGGAATAACTTCAAAATATTCACTAAAGATACATTCATTCTTTAATGGCAGAGGTACGCTTCGACGAAAGAAAATATGAGAATTTTTATAGAATGAATGTATCATGATATCTAGAATACTATAAAAATTGCTCATTTGTTCTCATATATCTAGTTGTGGTGTTGTGGAAAAAAAGATAGAGAAATCTAGGTCAAAAAGGATAAGGAAAAAGTGTACCATAGTTTGGAAGAAAACCCATTATCACTATTGATATGGATATTGATGTGTTTTTATGTGTATCTAATTGTGCATCCGTAAAAAATGTGAAAAATCTTTCAAGTTATTCATGTAGAAAAATATTTTATTTATATTGTGAATCATATGAAAACTCTTGAATAAATTTTTTTAAAATAAAAATCTAATTATAAAAATTCTTAGATGTTTAAACTACAATTGATTTGAGTAGATATAAATGTCACTAGAAGGAAGGTTGGATATTGACCCTTTTAATTTTTTGCTTTCTATTACTGAAACAATTTAACAAATAATATGTGAAGATGTTCAATAATATAATGTAAATAGAGTTGTGTGTCTGATTTTCCTGTAAAATAAGTATAATTAAAAGAGAAAGTTTAATAAGAATCACACATGAATTAAAAGAGTTGTTTGATTGTCTATGTTATAAAACTCTAATTATAATAATACACGTTATACTGTATTTTTCTGTTCACTAATATGTTGAACAATAAAATATTATAATAATAAATAATATATTAAAAAAAATTATTTTTAAAATTTTTAGATTATGTGGTTAACTTATTTTATAATTTTATTAATTAATTTTTTATATTTTATTAATTAACTATATTTTATTATTAAAAATTATATTTAATATTAGAACATTTATTAACTAATTTTATTATTTTATTAATTAAATTTTTATATTTTATTAAACAACTTTATTTTATTACTAAAATTATTTTTAATATTTGAATATTTATTAACCAACTTTATCACTTAATTAATTAATTTTTTATATATTATTAACTAATTTTATTTTAATATTAAAAATTATTTTTAATATTTAAATATTTATTAATTAACTTCATCATTTTATTAACTAATTTTTTATAATATATTAACTAACTTAATTTTATTATTTAAAGAGATTGTTCATGCACTATTAACCTGTTTATTATCATTGTTCATACTGTTCACACTCATTGTTAGACCACTGTTTATGGAAAAAGATACTATTCACATAACCAAAACATGAATCACATATGAAAAGCAAATAATATATAAATATTTTTTAATTATTTAAGTATAATAAATAGAAGTATACGGTGTAATATAACACATCAGTGTATAAATTGCATTACTGATTATAATATGACCATTATAAGTGTCTTCATTGAAAAGTTTGACGCTGCTTTTTATAATATAGTTACAAAATTGTCATATTTTTGTCTTTTAGTGAAGAGCTCAGATCCTCTAGATATGAGACATTACAGTAAATTCATTTAATAATGTTGACGCTTTTGATGTGACACAAAATTAAGGAAAATTTTAGGGGTGGACAAAAAACTGTTATCCTACCCAAACCGCTTTATTCGATGACTAAAATAATAATTTGATTGGTTTATTTCGGGTTTTTGGGTAAGCGGTTTATCTTATGCAGTTTATGGTGGGTAGTATAGGATGAAATCAAATTGAAAATTTTCATTCGCGGTAATTCAAAATCGACCATAACACATAAATTTTATTCCAATAAATAATAGTACATATGAGAAGCAGTATACACAACTTTTCTCTAATGTAAACTGACAAAGCACATGATATTGTAATGCTAACTTACTAATATAGGAGTATACATTATTATTACAACCTACTATTAATGATGTTGTGTAAGTGATTTGTCACATTTCTTCTTGAAACTTACATTTCCTTTTTAGACTGCAATTCCCGTTCTTCTTTTATCTTTAAAAACCATTTTGATTTTCTAACAATAATTTATCTTAATGTTTATAAGTAACACAAGAAAATTATCTCTCTATAGTGTTATTTTTACTCTTATACTTTTCTCTCCCTTTTCCATTTCTACTTTTTCCACTCTATTTGAGTTGGTTAATGATCTGACCTGATCAGAGTTGAACCGTCACAGCTGGCTTCGGGCTGGATTTGAAGGAGATGAACACACGGTAAACGGCGCGGCGGTTTCAACAACTTCCAGGTGGGAGTGTTCAATCACTTGAACCTGCCCCCCTCCCAGATTCATCATAACGCGATTGCCTTTATTCGAGCATTCGAACTCACCCGCCGCTTCCTGAGGATCAGGGAAAAGATCCTGTGTGCAAGAAAATAGTGCCTGAGCCTTCTTGTTGCGTTGACGAGGGCCAGAGCCACCTTTTTTATCTGTTGGTATCTAACCTCGGGCCCTTGAAACGCATTGCTCGTGAAATAAACGGGTTTTTGTCCGTCGTGCGTCTCACGAATGAGGGCTGCGCTGACGGCTTCGACTGAGACGACTAGGTATAAAAATAAGGTTTCCCCGTCAACTGGTCGTGATAACACGGGCGGCTGCGAGAGACTTTGTTTAAGATGGGGCAGTGCCTGCTCGCATTCCTCGGTCCATTCGAAGGCCGCTTCCTTGAGAAGAAGCTTGAAGAAAGGGAGGGCGTGTTGAGCGGATTTTGCAACGAAATGGGATAGTGAGGTAAGCATGCCATTCAAGACTTGTATGGATTTTTTCAACGTAGGTGTGGGGAGGTCGGAGAAAGCTCGACACTTGTTGGAGTTGGCTTCGATTCCTTGTTCTGTTAAGTAGAAGCCGAGGAACTTGCCCGCCTTGACCCCGAACATGCACTTCTCGGGGTTAAACCTCATTTTGCATTGCCTCGCTTGGGCAAAGACTTCCCTGAGATGAGCGGCATGGTCGGTGTCTTCTCGGGACTTGACGATCATGTTGTCCATGTATACCTCGAGCATATCCCTGATTTGGTTGCGGAAGACTTTGTTCATCATCCGCTGATACGTTGCTCCTGCATTTTTCATACCGAAGGGCATTACGTTGTAGTAATAGTTGCCCGAGCTAGTCATGAAAGTGGTGCAGTATTTGTCACCTATTGCCATTGGGATTTGGTTGTAGCCCGAATAGGCGTCTATAAACGATAGAATTTTATAGCCGGCCGAGTTATCAATCAACATATCGATATTAGGTAAATGAAATGCATCTTTGGGGCATGCCCGGTTAATATTGGTGTAGTCAACGCACATTCGCCATTTTCCATTATTTTTTTTGACAAGTACAACTTTGACAGCCAGGTTGAATACCGGGCTTCAGAAATAAAATTTGCCTCTAAGAGGTCTTTTACAGCTTTTTCAGCAGCCTCCGCTTTCTCCAGAGACTGCTTACATCTATGTTGTA